CTAACCTGCTTTCCAGCTCCGTTCTCCTGGGCAGGGCAACCAAAGGAGACCCAGCCGATCAGCTGGGACTCCATGGGAGGCAGAGAATAGATGGGGTTGGTGGGTCCAGTCCGAGGTGGGATTGGCCGCTTCTCCCAACTTCTCAAAAGTATCCGCTTCCGGTTCTCCGGAACCGGCTGAATCCCACCTCTGCCTTCCTCGCCCGCGTCCATTTCCTCCTCCTGATTCCTCCCTTGTGGCTTCACCTCCTTTCAGCCCCACGGAGCGCGAGCGGACGGAGCGGCTGATCAAGACCAAACTGAGAGAGATCATGATGCAGAAGGATCTGGAGAACATCACGTCCAAGGAGGTGAGTGGGGTGGGAAGGAGACCTTGGGGGACCGACAGGGCTTCCCTGCCGGCCCGTTGCCCCAAAGAGGAAGGGGGGGGGTTAAGCTATACTCTGGAACACCTGAAGGCAGGACAAGAATGGAAGCTCATCAAGGAGAGAAGCAACCTGGAATTCAGGAGAAACTTCCTAAGATAACCAGGGGAACAGCTGGCCACCAGAAGTTGTGGTTGCTCCATCACTGGAATTTTCAAGAAGAGACTGGACAGCCATTTGGCCAAGATGGTCTGAAAGGTGTATCTTGGACGGAGGGGTTGGAGTAGATGACCTCTGAGATCCCTTCCAGCCCTAGGATTCTATGATTCTGGCAGGGAGGGAGGGAGGGAGGGAGGAAGAAAGGAAGGAAGGAAGGAAGGAAGGTGATAAAGGGAAGAAAGAGAAATGGGAATGGAAAAGTGGAGGGAAGGAAGATGACACGGGAAGAAAAGAAAATGGGAACGGGAAAGAGGAAGGAAGGAAAGAGGGAAGATTAAAAGTGAAGAAAGGAAGAAAGGAAAATGGGAAAGGGAAGAAAGGAAAATGGGAATGGGAAAGAGGAAGAGGAAGGAAGGAAAGAAGGAAGATGAAAAGGGAAGAAAGGAAAAGGGAAAAGAGTAGAAAGGAGGCTTTTAAGAAGAGACCGGACAACCAACCGTTTCTCTGAAAATGGTCTAGTTCTTGCGTCTCCTGCTTGGGTGGGTGGGCTGGACTAGATGACTTTACAAGGTCCCTTCCAACTCTGTGGCCATAACTCAAAAACTGTGTTGTATTTAAAATTATTTTTGTCTGTTTTATTTAAAAGACTTCATTTTTTAAATTACTTGGTTTTTTTTTTTTTTTACAAAATGTGTGAAAGGCTCTTCCCTTAAGGCTGTCTCTCTTTCTCTCTCTCTCTCTCTCTTTCTCTCTCTCTCACCCCAGATCCGCACGGAGCTGGAGATGCAGATGGCATGCAACCTGCGTGAATTTAAGGAATTCATTGACAACGAAATGATCGTCATTCTGGGCCAGATGGACAGCCCCACGCAGATCTTCGACCACGTCTTCCTGGTGAGACTCTCCTGCCTTGGGGTGCAACGGCCCTCTTCGCTCAGGCTTCGGGGTTCCAGTCGCACACAGATGGACTCCTCACTTCCCCGTCCACCGCTTCCAAAGTGATCCTGCTTACACTGGGGTTACACCGTGCTTACACAGGCACTTCGGTTTTGGAAGAACTGGACAGCTTAGACCAGGGGTGTCCACTTTAAGACCTGTGGACTTCCACTCCCAGAATCCCCCATCCAGCCTGCTTTAAGAGGGGAGGACTTCCACTCCCAGAATCCCCCATCCAGCCTGCTTTAAGAGGGGAGGGCTTCCACTCCCAGAATCCCCCAGCCAGCCTGCTTTAAGAGGGGTGGGCTTCCACTCCCAGAATTCCCTAGCCAGCATGGTTTAAGGCAGGGCTCTTCAAACTTAACAGCTTTAAGACTTTTGGACTTCAACTCCCAGAATTCCTCCTCCAGTTATGTTAGCTCAGGAATTCTGGGAGTTGAAGTCCACAAGTCTTAAACTTGCCAAATTTGAAGGCCCCTTGCTTTAAGACCTGTGGACTTCAACTCCCAGAATTTCCCAACAAGCATGGCGGGCTGGGGAATTCTGGGAGTTGAAGTCCACACAAGTCTCCAAGTAACCAAGGTTGAACACTCCTGGCTTAGGCCAATCTTTCTAAACTTCAGTGACTTTAAAACATGTGGACTTCAACTCCCAGAATTCCTTGCAGACTGGGGAATTCTGGGAATTAAAGTCCACACCTGTCAAAACTGCTAAAGTTGATAAACCCTTAGTTCACGCAGGATCTTAGACCAACCGGTAGACAACAACGGTCAAAGATTCTGAGCCAGGAATTTTGAATATTTCTTGCACCTGATATCACCCTATTTGGGCATTTTGTAAAAAAATATTACTATTATTAGTAACATAGCTAGAATAAGAGTTGGAAGGGACCACGGAGGTCTTCTAGTCCAACCCCCTGCTTTAGGCAGGGAAAAATATTACTTGCATGACCAGCTGTGCTCTAGTGTGACTGTTGTGTTTGTGCTTTCTTGCCCGTTTGTGCAGGGTTCGGAATGGAACGCCTCCAATTTGGAAGATTTGCAAACCAGAGGGTGAGTCGGCCACAAAAATCGTCCTCACAAAACACACAACTTTTGGTCTTTTACATGCCGATAGGCCTTCCCTTCTCTCTGGCCCCCTCCCCCCCCCAAAAAAAAACCCCACACACATATTGTGAACACCGAATAGCCACCACCAAAATCCTAAAGCTCTTCTTCTATATTTATATTATATTTGCGCAGAGACAGATACCGGCTTATCTCATCCTTGACTGTTGCCAAACTCCCTGCAGGAAAAGTTTCACAGGCTGAAAAACTAGGTTAAACAAAAGGGGGAAAGTGTGACGGACTCCCGGCAACGGTTGGCAATTATCTGCAAGAGAGGAGTGGCGTAGATATTTTCACAGGCGCGTCTCTGTTCGAGGCAGTTTGGCCTCAGCCCTCCCTGGAGCAGAAGGGTAGCAACTGCACCCAAGGGTGCAGAAGGGTTGGGGGTGGTTTGTGTTCCAACCAAGGCTTATGGAGACACTAACAGACACAGACAGTCAGGGTTAGGGTCAGGGTCCCAAACAGACAGTCCCCAAACCCTTTTTTCTTGATTTCAACGGCTGTGAATTATAGTCGTTCACAGCCCGCAATGAGTCTCAGTTTGTAAATAAATAGTCCCGTGGAAGTCTGCCAAAATCCTTCGAGATAAGGCTGATAAGCACCCACCTTTATCTCCCTTGAAAGGCTGCCAACGCCTAAACTGCCTATTAGTTATACGAGGCCAAACGGAGCACAAAGTCAACACGGAGTTTCAGGTTTCAAACCGACCAGTACGAACGAAGTTGCTTCCTGCAAAGGACTCCTGTCCCTTTGCTCCTCCTTTTATGTCTTATGGGAGGGGCCAATCACCTCCAAGCCTTACTCCCAAATCTCCCCTTTTGTCCTAACTGTTCTTGCCTTCTGGCAGCGCTGTGCATATGCGCACTGGGAACAGGCTCCCTCTGCTCCTTTGCCTTGCTGATGTCAGATTCTGGAGGCTCCGGAGTCGGCACATGACTCCCAGATGGTCCTGGCCCCATCTCTGTATTGGACGCAGGACCCTCGTCCGAGCCCTCCCCAGAGTCCCGGACTGGGCCATGTTCCTCCCCACTGTCTGACTCTGTGGCCAGCTCTGCAGGCTGCTGGTGGACCACAACAGTTCGTTTATTGAGTTCTTTCCTTCCTTGCTTGCTTATTTAGATGTTTATTTGTTTTATTTAGGAGTATCAGGTCTAATAATATTTCTCTTTTGTCTGAAGTGGTGTAGGGTTTCCTGCCTGAGCAGGGGTTGGACTAGAAGACCTCAAAGGTCCCTTCCAACTCTGTTATTCTAGTCTATTCTGTTAGCAGGGTTTATACATGGGGGAATGTTACTTGAAGAGTACGCTGGGTGTGGGCTGTGTGAGGGGAAGCTTTATTTTTTTAAATTTATTTGTATCCTACCCAGGGGTGGGTATTAGAATACAATTTCTATTCTATTCTAATTTCTATTCTAATTTCTATTCTGATTTCTATTCTATTCTAATTTCTATTCTATTCTAATTTCTATTCTATTCTAATTTCTATTCTATTCTAATTTCTATTCTACTTTCTATTATATTCTAATTTCTATTATATTCTAATTTCTATTATATTCTAATTTCTATTCTAATTTCTATTATAT